GTGTCGCGCGCGCGCGGCACACGCGCGCATAAAAAATGTGCAGGACGAGGCAGTGGTATGTAGTTAAAAGATGCCTCCCCAAGACCAGACCAACTGTTCAAGGACCGAGCCCATAATCAGACCCTTTATCATGGTGTCAGCTGGGGGTGGGGACCCAAAGAGTACAGCTATCCCACAGAGAAGGCCTTGCAGCTGAGGAGGAGGGACACCGAGCACAGTGGAATTAAGCAGGCCAGGGGAGGGGGAGGACGCTTTAATCTCATTTTATTCGCCCACTGCGTGGGCTGTCTCAAGACTCCACCACCGCGACTCCTTCCTGTGCACAAGCAGATTCTTCTCCGCTTCCAGCCCAAAGTTTCCTCCTCAGCCAATTGGAGCCGCATAAACTCAAGGCCACCCCCGCCCCCCTTTTCAACAAATATTTGTGGAGCAACTCCCACGTGCCTGGAACAGACTTTTCCCCTTCCCTCTAGCGACTTATCAAGGGGTGGGGCAACGTGCTGAGGATGCAGCCGGGACTACTGTGGGAAACTGATATCAAGCTAGAAACCAGTGATAAAGAGTAGCAACAAGCAAGACGTTGTGGAAAGACACAAAACAAGTTAACGCAGAGGGGACACCTGACACCAAATTTTTCAGAGCACGAAAGAAGATGCTGAGTTCAGATGTTGGCATTGAACTGAAGAAGAAAAACTGAAATGGTGCACATCGCGGAAATTTGGGAAAACGGGAGAGGGGGCGGGGTGGTGGTAGACCGAACCGAGGACGGGACGGAAGGGAGGCGCAGGGACAACACCAGAGCCCCGTCGAGGGGACAGCCGCGCGGAGGGGGTGGGGAGCGGGACCGACACGTGCGCTACGTGCTGCGCCGGCTGCCGCCCCCTCCCGGGCAGCTGGGGAGCCAGGCCTGCCCCCCTCATCCGTGGCTCAGACCCCAAGCAAGGGGTGGGGGTGGGAGCGACGGAGAGCGAGAGGAAAGTCTCTCCTCGCGTTTGGAACCCCGAAGCCTGGCCTCTCCTGCCCGGCGGCCGGAAGGAGCAAGGCCAGCGCCCCTTAGGCCAGCAAGCGAATTTAGGGCACAGGCTGAACTCTTGGGGTGCAGGCCGGGGGTGGGACTCAACCCGCTGGAGGAACGTGAGGGCTGATGGCTGAGTGGGCCGGATGAAGACATCGATCCCTAAAGATGTATCTAAAGGCTCTCCAGCACTCATGGGGTGCTTTGGGGGACGGAGTCCGGGGCGGAGGCGGAGTGTTGTCCAAGAGTAAGGAGGGGGGTTCCTGGAGACGTGGCACTCGGAGCGGGCTCGGTTCTCCTCGGGCCGCCGGGACTGCAAGCCCGGCTTTCCCCACGGGAACCTGGCGCTGCGGCTCCGCCCAGCCCTCGCTCCCAGCCGTCTGGGAAGCGAAGAGCCGGCACCTCCAGGCCGGGGTTAGCCAGGGCCGGCCTCTGAGACGTCCAGCCGGCCCCACACTAGACAATGCGGAGAGGGCCCCGCCCCCGGAGGCTGATGCGGCTCGGGCCGCGGCCAATCACTGCCTGTGGCTAGGCTCTTTAAAAAAAGAAGAGCCGGCCGCGGTGTGGCTGTCAGCTGGAGAGGGATCCCTCCGCCCATGTAAACACACATCATAAAGGGCAAGGGGAAGCGTCTTCGGTGGGGCGGGGGAGCTGGTACCTTAGTAGATATCCTTCTCAGTCCCTAGGGTTCTCTTTACTAGCTTGGCAGCCGCCCGCTCCCTTGGCGTCTGTTTGGGTCGGTGCAGAGCCAAACAGTTGCTGCTTGATCTGAGCGGTAGGATCTCATCATTTAGGGTCACTGCCGGAAATGGAGGAAGTAGGATTAGCAGACCTTGAAAGTTGGGAGAGAGACGTAACTCATAGATGACAACTGAGATTTTTTTCCCTAAACTCGTGCCCTCCAGTTGCATACCCATAATTCATGTACGTCTAGAAGTCTCACAACCTACCTAATTTGTAGGATGCCAACGTCAACGGTATTGCGTTCTCCCAAGGCAGAGAACTTGACAGGAAATCAACTCCAGGAGGAACCTCAAACTCAGGCACACATATAATAAACACCCTGGGTCAAGAACTACAATAAAAGATTTCCCTCGGTCAACATGTGTCATCTGACACCCCAGTCCTTGGGAATGGGGTCAACCTGGGCTACATTGTGAATTCCAGGCCAGCTTTGGCTATCAGTATGCAATCCTGTCTTAATTGTTCCTCTCCTCAATACACTAGCAGGAAAAAAAAATTCAGTAAGGGTAAAAAATATGGCAAACTGGGTGAGGTGACACATGCTTTTAATCCTAGCACCTCTGAACTCGAAGTCAGCCTGATCTATGTGAGTCTTGGGCTAATAAGAGATACTTAGTGAAATCTTGACTCAAAAAAAAAAAAAGGCAAATTCTTATATCTAGGTTTCCCCACAATTTTGTAACCTACTGTATCACGTTATCTTTTTTTTTTAAGATTTATTTATTTATTATGTATGCACCAGACCTCATTACAGATGGTTGTGAGCCACCATGTGGTTGCTGGGAATTGAACTCAGGACCTTTGGAAGAGCAGGCAGTGCTCTTAACCTCTGAGCCGTCTCTCCAGCCCCTGTATCACCTTATCTTACAATGAAGATTTTTTTTTCTTGAGTAGGTTAACTGTCTCTTTGGGTTCCATCTTATTTACAGAATGGGGGAGCAAGAAAAAGGTCAAGTCAGACTCCGAAGCCCTAGGGAGTTATGGAGAGGTCGCTTTCTCCAGGAATCCTGAACTAACTGTTTTGGAGGCTGTGGACCTCTGGGAAGTTTATTGAAGAATGGGACTTTTTCCCTCTTCAACTTAAAATGTTTTATATATAAATATATTTTTTGAGACAGGTTTCTCTTGTGTAGCCTTGGCAGTCTTGGAACTTCCTCTGTAGACCAGGCTGGCCTTGAACTCACAGAGATAGACTGCCTCTGCCTCACAAGTGCTGGGATTAAAGGTGTGTGTCACCACTGTCTAGATACTTTCTATATTTTAAAATTCTCTTTAAATTGCTTGTGTGTTGCTTGTAGAGGCCAAAAGAAGGCAGTTGTGCCTTCTTGTAGTTGAAGAGGCAATTGTGAGCTGATGGACACTGGAACTGGAAACTGAATTTATGTCCTCTTGGGCAGGACCAAAATGTCCTTAACCCACTGAGCCATCCCTCCATCCTCCTTGGTTTTTTTTTTGTTTTGGTTTTTCGAGACAGGGTTTCTCTGTGGTTTTGGTTCCTGTCCTGGAACTAGCTCTTATAGACCAGGCTGGATCTATAAGAGATCACAGAGATCCGCCTGCCTCTGCCTCCCGAGTGCTGGGATTAAAGGCGTGCGCCACCACCGCCCAGCTGGCCTCCTTGTTTTTTGATGCAAGTTCTCATTATGTAGATCTGGCTGGCCGAGAACTCAGTATAGGGCAGGCTGGCTTTAGCCTCCCAAGTGCTGGGATTAAAGGTATATGCTATCACTTCTAGCGTTTCTGTTTTAAACTGAGGAAGCAGAGCCTGTGTGTGACAGGATACATCTGTAAGCCCAGCACCTGTAGAGGCAGGAAGATCAGGAGATCAAAGTCATCCTCGGCTCCATAGAGTTTCAGGCCAGCCTGGGCTACAGGAGTCTTAAGAAGAACTAAACCCTGAGGCTAAGAGAGATATCCTTCCTCCTGGTTGTTCTGAAGGGAGGGCTGGAGGCTGTGATAGTTCTTCCATGAGTTTGGCTGCTTTCTGGAATAAAGAAATCATTTCAGGGCTCAAGTTCTACTTAGGATCTTCTTTTGACTTCCATGGCTCACTTTGAAACACTGGGCTCATCCCTCAGTACTGACCCCCTTTCCTCCAGAGCTCGCTGTAGCTTTCGGCTTGTGGGAACCTGCTCTCTGTGCGTGCCGGACACATCTCAAACAAACCTGTTCCAACGTGAATACATTTTCTCTAGAGTGGTTTGTGCAGGGGGTGATCTGGGTGACTGTCCAGCAATGCCAATTGGCCAGTATCTACTGAGGCAGGTGTGCCAGACCCTTTGTATGGCATCCTGTGATTCCTTCCTAGTCTAATTTTTATTTCCTGCAGTTTCATCCTTTCTTTCTTTCCCTTTCTTTCCTTTTTTTCTTTTTGGTTTTTCCAGACAGGGTTTCTCTGTGTAGTCGTGGCTGTCCTGGAACTCTATCTGTAGACCAGGGCTGGTCTTGAACTCACAGAGATCCGCCTTTGCCTCCCAAATGCTGGGATTAAAGGTGTGTGCTACCAGGCTTATCCTTTCCTTTCAATCAATAACGCTGCAGATTTTTAGGCCCCATTATTCCTTGACTGGATTATTTCAAGATATTTTTGTTTTGTTTTGGTTTTTTTTCGAGACAAGGTTTAGCTTTGGTGCCTGTCCTGGAACTAGCTCTTGTAGACCAGGCTGGCCTCGAACTCACTGAGATCTGCCTGCCTCTTCCTCCTGAGTGCTGGGATTAAAGGCTTTGCTCAGGATCAACCTTGTCATAAGGCTGTAAAATGATTTCTGTGCGATACCAACATTTTCTGATAAATAGTTCGAACTATTGGATTTTGGCACATGCTTAAGTTATCTCACACGCTAAACAAATGCGCAAAGCACTTAACAGAGTATCTAGGATAAGCAAATGTTCAAAGTGTTTTTACTATCCTCATTACTATTGTTTGTGTCTGTCCTTGCTGCTCTTGTGTTTAAGCTGTCTTCTCTACCTAGAGAATCCTCCTCCAGTTTTTACTATGCAAATCCTTGGTGGCAAAAAGTGTATGGCGTGATTGAATGATCAATTATAGATCTGATCTCTCTACAGGATCGCTAACTTCCTGAGAGCAAGAATTCTGAAAACTTCAGTGGTCAACGAACCATAAAGGCTAAAACCCATCCCAGGCGGAAGGACCCAGCCCCTCCCGGTTAGGGGGCGGGGTGGGACCTGGCTCCGGGTGGCAGTAGGGACTTTTTTCCTTGCCGTGGCGGCGGAGGCGCACGGCGTGGTGTAGCGGCAAGACGTCGTCGGAGGAAAGCTGAAAAAGCCCTAGGTGCTGCCGTTGCTAGTAGAAGTCGGACTTGTCTCCGGAGCTGCGCGTCTGCACAGGTCTCGGACGGAGCGGAGCTTGCTCCCGTGGTCGCGGAGCCTGCCCCGTGCTCGCCCCTGCCGACGTCGCATTGATGGAGCCGGCCACCGTGCTGCCCCCAGGTCCGCGTCCGGCGCTACCCCTCGGGGGCCCGGGCCCGCTGGGCGAGTTCCTGCCTCCCCCCGAGTGTCCGGTCTTCGAGCCCAGCTGGGAAGAGTTTGCCGACCCCTTCGCTTTCATCCACAAGATCCGGCCCATAGCCGAGCAGACTGGGATCTGTAAGGTGCGGCCGCCGCCGGTGAGTCAGCCAGCACCCCGGATCTGCTCGCGGCTGGGGAGGCCCGAGGCGCGGGGGCGGGGAGCGGTCGTCCCGGCGGGGCCCGGTCAAGTTTGGGGTCCCTCAGTGGGTGGGAGTTGCGGCGGCGGGAAGAAGGCGCGGGGGCTCGTCCGGGTGGGATGCGGGCTGTGAGCACAGCGGGCTCTGGCAGCGCGGCCCGAGGACCGGGTCGGTGCGGCTCCGGGGGCCGGTGCGCCGCACGGCCGGGGAGCGGTGCAGGCTGGAGTGGTGGCAGCCGCCGGACTGGCCACCGGGGAGTCCCCTCGAGCCTGGCTGAGGCGCGGACGTGGAGGCAGGGCTCTGGGCCCCCACGGCTCGGTGGCTGGTCCTCGCCTCCTCCCGGGGGTGCGGGGGTGTGTGATGGGTGGGGGTGGGGGACTTGCGAGTTGTCGTGTGAGGAGGAAAGTTTTCAATATGGCGGCGGGAGCCCCTGGTCCTTTGTGTGGTGGCGGCGTCGGCCGGGAGCTGCCCTCACCTGAGCGCCCCACCCTCCGGATCCGGGTCCCCCACCACCACCTGGTCCCTCGGCCTCCCGGAGTCCCGGGGCCGGGCCGGGGCAGGGGGCGGCCCGCGCCACTGGGGGAGGGGAGGAGCCGCGGGTCCGGCCTGGAGCGACTGGATGGCTGGGGGCACAAGTGTCGTGGGGGGCACTTCGGGGACTGTGGGGCGGGACAGCGGTGCCCCTATGCTCGCCTGCCCGCCCTGGTGGGCGCTCCCCGGGGCCGAACGGCGCTGCTCCCCGGGGAGGCCTGGCTGGGACTGAGGGCCAGACGGGCCGTGTTTGTAGGAGAGATGTCAGACGAGGTCCTCAGCCTCCCCTACTCGGCCCAGCAGCGGGGGCTCTGGCGCCTCGAGCTTGGGGGGCTGTGAGGGGTGGGGTGTCCCCCGAAGCCAGCCCTAACGGCTGCAACGTCCGCCAAGAGCCCGGCCCACTCCTTCCCTGTCTCCCCCCCTCCCCCCGCAGCCGGAACTGGATGCGCTGCGACACCCCAGGTTTTTCGCCTACCTTTTGGGATGGCCCGAGTCTGAGTTGGCCTAAACGACCGTTGGACCGGCCGGGACGGTTGGTGAGGTTTAACTGCCTTGCCTACCGTTTTAAGAATTTTCTATCTCCACTGCTCGCACATAAGTGGAGGAAGGACCCCCCCCCCCCCCCTTTACCTCTTTCTTCCTTAAACTTGCTCTTTGTAATGGCATTTTGAATTGCGGGATTGTGTACGTAATCAATCATTCTGTTCTAGAAAAGCTAGAATAAGCCTTATCTTTCCATCACCCCCCACCAGATAAAAAAAAATTAAACCACAGACACCATATTTTAGTTTCTCTTGGACAACTTTTCAAACGAAATGAAATAGATGCCTCAGAAAAGAACTGGCCAGGTCAGCTAGTGTGGAGGAAATGATTGGAAATAGATTCATTTCTCCTGGTGAAAGTGGACAGGGGCAAGTATTGTTTCTTAAGGGAAGGTACATTTCTTTTCCTGTAGAGGCCTGCAGAAGTTACACCCTGGGCTGGTTAGCACTAAGGTTTTAATTTGGAAGAATAGACCACGCTTGCTCTAAACATTGAGCGATGTAGCTTTATGTTAATGTGCCAGGAAAGATGAATGTGAACATTGGACGTTCTCATTGATAGGATGTTATCCAGACATTAGCAAACTTGACTAAGTTATTAGAAACCAAAATGTAAGAGGAGTTAGGTTCCTGTGAGCTGTCCTCCATGTTGGCATTGTGGCATCCAGGGCTGGGGTAAGTCCTTTCTCTTGCCTTCTTTGCCTTCATAGAGCTGTTGTCTTCGAAAAATAGTGTTGCTTTGCTTAGGTCTGGCTACCCATTTCTCATCTGGGTTAGCAGATTAATGGCAATCTTTAGGATTTGTGCGTTTATTTTGCTTTTTCCCATTCTCAATGTCACACATGATAGCCACCATTTTGTATTGAGTACTGTGTAGTAGAGCCTGAGAGGAGAGGGGTAAAGAGGAGAAATGATCTACAGACACAACTAGTGCTATTTGGAGTCCTCCTTTGTGTGCAGGGGACTTGCTCCTCCTTTGTTTAACAAACTCCTGTGCCAATGTAGAAGAAGAGTGGCCAGCATTTGCTGTTGATAGAACCACCAGAGAGAAGATCCAGAAGTTGGAGCTCTTGAACAGAGGGGTCCTGGAACAAAGGCTTCTCAAGAGATGTAAACAGTCTTTGTTTAGGGAATGTTTTGTGGTAGGAAAGCTGAGAACAAGTGGTTTCATATAGTTGAAATATGGCAACAAAATAAACCCTTAAGAAACAGGAAATCTTTTCCATAGTGGTAGCTTTATAATGCCTGTCTCTAGACGATTTCTGTTGAGTTTCTGGAAATCTAGTGGCTAAACTGAAAGTATTTGGAGATTGTGGTATACTTTTAGTAAGTACGTAAGGGGAAGAATTAAAAAACCATAACTATTTCATTTTGTTCTTAGCTCTGTTTTATCTTTAATTAATGGTACTTAGCTTTGGTTTGTACATGTTTTTTTTAGTGAGGGTCTTAAACTGCTTGGTTTATATTTTGTATAAGTGCATAAAAGTTGACAAAAATTTGTGAAAATGTAAGGTAAATGTGATAAAATGATGAGTCGAGACTCTGCAAGCCTCATTTAAATAAAGACAGTAATAAACCTTAATTCAAAGCTATCAAGCTTATTTTCAGAAGTGATATTTAAAAAGTAAAATGAGTTTTACTTTTTAAAATGCAGATATTAATTTCTTAAGTACTTAAGTACAAATGTCATTTTTGTTTTCTAACATTTCAGATGAATAAGTAATTTTAGGGATGTTAATATTAACATGCTTAACAAATTAACAAAAGTTGGCTGCTCAGTAAATATATTTTTAATTTCCCAAATTTGATAGAAATGCATTTGATAGCTTTAGTAACTTTCTTGCTTTCAAATATCTAACATGTCTGTAGTTAGGCAGACTCCACGAATTTCTTTTTGACAGTGACCAAAGTTAGACATTTAAATCAAACCCGGGACAGCACAGTAAAGGCTATTTTTCATTTTTAACTTCCTTTGGTTGTTTGTTTAAACCCTTCATCTACATATTTATAGCCAAGAAGTGTAAGACTGTTGTAATGCAATAAGCATCTTTGAGAGGATTTGTTAATTTAATTTCACTCTTGGAGAATGAGGAAGTTAAAATGCACATTTTTTTGTAAGGCAGAAAAATGTTAATGACAACAGAGCTTATTTATGTCAATTCCAGTCCGTGTGTGTGTGTGTGTGTGTGTGTGTGTGTGAGAGAGAGAGAGAGAGGGAGAGAGAGAGAGGGGAGAGGTGTCACACTGTAGCTCTGCTCTACCTCCTGAGTGCTTGGATTAAAAGAATGTGCCATAACTTCCAACTCCATTTGTGTGTGTGTGTATACATTTGTACACATGCATGCATGATATTCTGTGGTGCATGTATGGAGGTCAGAAGTCAGTTTGTAGAAGTTTGTTTTGGGTCTCGTGAATTCTGGGATCAAACACATGAACTTGCTTGCTTATTTAAAAAGTCAAGGATGTTTGGAGTATATGAAAAATTGGCAGAAATTTGCCAAAAATGGAACTTTTAGAGGGTTTAATGTGTATTCTGTATAATAATCTGTATGGTTTATGTGCAGTAAATCATATGGGATTATTTTATAGCTATCTCATCTTTTTGTTTCATATTTATTTATTTTTTATTTTGTGTTCTGTGTTTCATTTTGGGACCATGGGCATGCTTGTTGTCCATAGAGGCCAGAAGAGGGCATCAGATCTCTGGAATTGGTGTTGTAAAGGGTTGTACCCTGCCATATAGGTGCAGGAACCAAACCTGAGCCCTTTGGAGGACCAGCAAGTACTCTTAGCTGCTGAACCATTGTTCATTGCTGTCTTAATTGGTCCACGTTAAAATTTATGGAGAGAAATAAGTCAGGGCTTAGTGTGGTGCACACCTTTAATCCCAGCACTCAGGAGGCATAGGTAGGCAGATCTCAGGCTATCCTGTTTACATAACAGCTCTGGATAACCAGGGCTACATAGTAAGATCCTGTCTAAAAACAAAAGGCTCGAGAGATGGATTAAGAGCACTTGTTGATCTACAGAGAGACCCAGGTTTGATTTCCAACACCCACATGGTGGCTCACAACCATCTGCAAATCTAGTTCTACAGGATCTGATGCTGCCTTCTGATCTCTACAGGCACAGACACCCACATAATGTGCATGTATACATGCAAGCAAACACATAAATCTTAAAATAAAAAATTCATGTGAGGGATGAAGAGATGATTTTATGACTAAGATCTATTTACTGTGTAGACATGAAGACTGGAGTTTCAGTAGAATACCCACATAACAAATCAGGTATACCCCACATTCTCTTGTAATCCCAGCACTGAGCAGTGAGAAGATAGGGTTCCTGGACTTCCCTGACTTCCAAGCTAGCGCAGAAATGTAAGGTCCAGCTTCTGAGAGACTATGCTCATAAGGAGTAAGGCAGAGACAGGACTGTACTTGATGCCTTCCTTACACAGGTGCGCGTACTAGCACACATAGTTGTATATATACATGCAGCACATCCGCGCATGTGCACACATACTCTTCAACACACAAAACCTTTTTTTTTTTTTGTGGTTTTTTTGAGACAGGGTTTTTCTGTAGCTTTGGAGCCTGTCCTGAAACTAGCTCTCGTAGACCAGAGGCTGGCCTTGAACTCACAAAGACCCGCTTGCCTCTGCCTCCCAAGTGCTGGGATTAAAGGTGTGCCTGGCCAACACATAAAACTTTAAAAATCATTTAAGCTCCCCATAAAACTACTATTCTGATATAGTCATAACTACCAGTGTATAAATTAATTTTTAAACTTCTATTATTTGTGTCTGTGTTGTTTGTGTTTGTGGGGGAAGGGAGTGAGCAGGTGCGCATGTGCTCCTGAGCTATTGTAGAGGTCAGAGGGCAATTT